CTTGAATATGCGCTAAGCCTCACATCTTTTCTTTCAGCCTGGATATTGCGGAACCACCATTTTCCACCACGTTCACTCCCTTCCGCGCTGTTTCAACGGCTCACTCGGCGCGTGAAGCCACCAGCATCACTAAATAAGTCTACGGGTGCTAATAGACATGCGCTTGGGTAACTTCCACCAGTCTGCTCGTCGCGCAATCTCTACCACGACCAAACTTATCCCGCCTATACGGGCGTGATTAGTCTTCTTGTAGATACGCCAAGGACGAAGACCAAGACAGTAAAATTTCGGAGTGACCGACGAAAGAGGGGACATGGCATGATATCCGTACAAAGAGACGCAGGGACTATTGCCTGAGGAAGGTTCGGCGTAGGAGGGAGAAAGAAAGGGCTGAAAGTTTCGCGCCCAAGACCCTAAGCGAAACGAGCCTGTATTCTCTCCCATCGATGAATCGGTGATGGCCTGATCACCAAGAAGGAAGACAAAATCGAGCTGAGACGTCTTTGCGCTGACAATCAAGGCGCGGAGATTTAGCCACAGGCCACGGGTTACTGTTGAGTCCAGCTCGGTACCAACGAGAACGTTTCCCACTCGCCCAACTCATACGCGCTGTGTAGGAAAGGACGCGTCTGGACCGCTTTGCATCGAAACACCTCGTTGCGTGGCAGAGGATGCGGCTGTTCCTTTTGGAAAAGGCGTGGCGGGCGAGGCTGAGATCTCGATGCAGTATCGCGGTGAAGGAGGAGTCAACAGCTCTCCACCGTCAACGCCACCCGCAGTCTGAGACAGCATGAACGCACGTGGAGACAGACCAGTCGAGACGCTCGCTCGCACTGACAGCTGTATTGAGCACATAACCCCCGTTTGGCCCTCTCTTCCTCTTTCCCGTTCCATCGATAAAGCGCGCTAGAGGGGCAAAAAGCAAGCTCCTAGTCACCTCTCCCTCCGCTCGGTGCCTCTCAAACTCCTAGCTCCGGTCGCGAAAAGAAAAAACAGCATACTAGTCGCCCCGAGGGGGAAGTAGGGTCTTGAACCTTGTTTCCCTGTCGTCACACCTCGTTGTAAGGTACCGAGCAGGTGTAGTCTGGTCGGTTTCCCGCGGAAGCAGACACCCTGAACCTGGCTAACGTTTGTAGCTGATGGTGGTGAGGCCAATCCCAAAGCAGACGCGTTGCTTCTGATGGAACTACGGTGGGTATGGAATGCTGATCGTTACGGGCGATCGGCGGTGCTTTTCTCATCGTTCGTTGATTGCGACGATGCGCTATTCTTTTGGAACTGGGGGGTGCAGGTTTAACCCCTTGATTGGTGTTGAGGACGTGTAGGGGTGAGTGTGTATATATGGAGGGCACTTTTCCCTTGTAGATGATCGCCATCCAACCATCAGCTTTCATCATTCTCATCAGTTTATCTGATTCAACAACCTCTCTACATCTTCTACAAGTCTCAACCACACTTCAACAACTTCATCAACTGCTATCCACAGAGCAGCCAAACCATACATCACACACTGAGGTCTCAAAACCTCACCAACCAATCAACAAACACACACATCATCAACATGCCATCAAAATACTTGACAACGCTTCCTCCCTGCCCGGGCCCACCACCAAACCGACCTCTTCCCCCGCTACCCTCATAACGCACAACACATACTTGAGTGCGGAGCGAGAACGGCGTTGACGTCATCTTTCTCGTCGAGTCGAGCCGGGAGGCAGCAGGAGAGCAGAATACCCAACACATGTACGATTACGATGCGATACGAAATGATACCGAAGCCGCGACTTCATCTTGGAAGGAACTGCGCGATGGGATGGAAGACAGAAAGTAGGGGGGTTTGGGTTTTGATTCTGGAGACTTGCTAGAGTCTGACAGCTCGTTGTACGAGATTCTATTCTATGGAGAGCAGTTTGAGGAGAAGGGACGGGTGTGGTAGTAGCTTAGACAGTGAAACCTACCCAGTTCATTTCAATTATGAAAATTTGTTCACTCTACAACCTGCACTATGCGCATCTCTTCCGTGACAGTCGCACAAGATGTGTAATAACTGATTACCAACATGACCCCACCTACCCGCCGCTGTCATTCTGAATCCTTTGCCGTACACAGTGCACAGCGCCTCTTCGTGACAACTTCACAGGAAATGCGTCTGGAATCACCACCCAATACTGCCTTGCACCCTACCCACGATATCCATGCCAGATCCTCTGCCATACAGAAAGCATACCGCTTTTTGTGACAACTTCGCATGCAATACGCATCAAGTGACTTCCCATACAGCCTTGCTTCCCACCCCTACCCTGTCAGATCCCCAAGCGCACATGCCACATGCAAGATGATCTGCTCCAGTATGTCGTGCAGCCTCGCCCCACCCCTACCCCCAGCTTATCAGATCTTCTCCAGGGCTAGCTCACCGATCCAGAAGATCAGCATCGTGAACACCCTCCAACGGACCGGGACGTGTATCTTGGTATACTACGGCTATCCAGCTAGAGTAATATTAACCGACGGAAGCATGTAGCCTACGAACGAAGGAAGCTGTGGGGGGGAAAGAAGGAACGAAGAAAGTTGATCACATGCGGAAGTTGGCTATTCCCATTTCGTGCATCACGAACATGCTGCCTAAAAGGGAAGGGAAGAAGGAATGTGAGGAGTGATCACATGCGGATGTTACTGTTTCCCATTTCGAATACCAATGCAATTCTCCTAGCTGGCTCTTAGTTTCCGTCTTCACCGATGGGAGTGAGCGATCTAGGAGCGAAGGAAGAGAAGAAGTAATGTTGGAAGTCATCACATGCGGATTTTGCTAGTACTGTTTCATCTACTACTCCAACTACCTTCACCGATTGAAGCATAAAGGGGAAAAGAACTGGTCAGCCTGTTCATATGCAGATGTTGCTATTCCCGTTTGCATCATCATGCCGATTGCGGCATGTCCATCGGCAGAACCAGGCAGTCTACTAACGAAAGGACGAGAAATGTCGCCTCCCCCACCGCCCCTCCCCCGCCAAGTCAAAGAAGCAAACCTGAGGGAGCGCATGCAGAGGGTACTATTCCTATTTCAGCTAAACATACTAACTGTCTTGACTTCGTCTTACTTTCCCCATGTTCACCGGTGGAAACATGTAGTCTAAGCAGGGACGAGAAGAAGGAATGGTCAAAGCGGTCACATGCGAATGTCGTGATTCACATGTCGATCATCTACCACACCTAGAGTACATTTCAGTGTGCTTGTGCAGATGGTGCTATTCCCATTTCATATGCCATACCGACTACGCCAGCCTCGTCTTGCTTTCTCCTGTCCACCGGTGGAAGCAAGCAGCCTGTGAATGAAGGATGGGCAGAATGAACATCCAATTGATCATGTGCAGATCTATGCGTGCCACTACTTCCCTCTACCACTCCCCGCCTACCCCAAACACACATCTACTTGCCCCCAGGAAATGTGAGACCATTATCGTGTCTCACCTTCTCCATAACCGCCAAAGTATCTCTACTATGCTGCTCCAACCTCTTCAACGCACCCTCATCCTTTTCCTCGATACATCTCGCAAATTCCCTCGCCTCCTCCACCAAGTTCAACTTCTCAGGCTCCTTCACACCCTGCACATCCTCCCTCGTCTTCTTCTTCGGGTCCCAAAAGGTAATCTTGTTGATATCCGTAATCGTAGGTACGATCAACGTGCCCTTCTCCCCGTAAATCTCACTCGGGGCGTCAGAGTTATAGATCTTGCTGTGACAGAGATGGACTGTGAAGGTGGGGTAGGTGAGAATGAGACGGCCGCCGCCGTCAGCGCCTGTGGCGATTTTAACGGGGAAGTACTGCGATGAGGTTGGCGCGCCGAAGAGGTCGATGGCGGCTGCGACACAGTATACGCCCAGGTCTACGAGCGCACCACCGCCCATCTCCAGGTTGAAGATGTTGGGGACTTCGCCTTGGAGTACCTTCTCGTAGCGGCTGCTGTACTGCGCAAAGGTAATGGAAGCGCCGTATAGCGGACCCAGGTCTGAGATCTTGGATTTCAAGAGCTTGAAGTTTGCTTCTTGGATGTGGCGGAAGGCTTCCACCAGGACGACCTTCTTCGACTTCGCTAGTGCGAAGAGCTCGTCGAGTTCCGCGACGGTGCTGCAGGATGGCTTCTCGAGGATGACATTCTTGCCGGCGTTGAGGAACTGCTTGGCTTGCTCGTAGTGTAGGATGTTGGGGCTGGCGATGTAGACCGTGTCGATCTTGTCTTGGGCAAATGCATTCAGGTCGGTGTACGTGGTGATTTGCTTGTCGGAGTATTTGGATGCGAATTCTTTCGCGGTCTCTTCTTTGCGCGAGTAGACAGCGGAGAGGTTGTATTTGCCTGTTGCGTGCGCAGCTTCCACGAAGGAGTGGGTGATCCAATTGGTTCCGATGATGCCGATATTGATCATGTTGGTGGTGTTTATTTGATGGATGATTTGGGTATACGTTTAGAGAAGGAGCTGACCTGGTATAAATACGTCGTTCGCGTCGAGGGGCAGTCGCATTCAACCCCACTAGGAAGCTTCAGCTGCAGCTGCTAGTGTGATGTCATTGGCCGACTGCTCCGACTACCCAAAGCGGCAGTAGTTGGCAAAACTAGACACTAGGGGCAAAGGTCAACGATGAGTAAACAGCAGGCTTGATCAAATCGGTATTGTATTGCAGGTTACTAAATGCAGTCATACTATAGGATAGCCTCAGTGCTGTTGTGCAAAACTAGAGTTCCTGAAGAGGGTATCATGCTGCGACCATGTGTCGTGTCGTTGAAATGTATCATACCATATGCGTGAAAGAGAGGTGCATCTTCGTTCCATCCCGGACATTGGTCCAAGCCGTGTTGGATGACGATCATAATGTGAGAAGGAAAAAGTGCAGGACCAACCGTACGCCGAAACCAACCCCCAAAACTCCGTACGCTCAAAGTCGCATACTTGAAAATGCAATGACGCTGACAGTACTAGAAAGGAAGTACTCATGTATTGTTTATTCAGTCCTCCCATATGGTGTCGAGGTCCAGGTCGACGCGTCGTTCAGCTCCGCAGACACTCCATCTCTTCCGTGAGTCGCGCTTGCCGAAGCCGAGACTGCGCCCACGGCTTTCGGGCACGTCAAGGCTGGACCTCCTGCCATCTCCGCCGTCCTCACGGTCCGCGGCAGCCTTGAGCCGCCGTATGCGATCAGCCTCTATGGCTTCTTCTTCTGCGTCTGGGCTGTCTTCGATGGTCTCGAGAGACGAGATGGAAGGGCTGCGGGAGCGCATCGAGGTCGGGGTGGATGGCACGGACGAAGAGGCATGGGACATGGGGTAGTTCTCGTTGAACCTGGAAGGTGCGAGGAGCGGTGAGGAGGCAGTGGAGGTGGGCGTGCTGACAGAGGGGGTGCTCGTGGGTGGTGCGCCAAAGGGTACGGTAACCTGGTATAGCGGTGAAGCTGGTCGGCGTCGCCGGGAGAGCGAGCCTGTGCTGCTGTGGAGGCTCGACACGGTGGTGCCAACGCGCGGCGTGAGTTCCAGTTCGGCGTCCTCTGATATGTCGCACACACTCGGTACGCCCTCAAAAGAGCCGATGGAGGCTGGACGAATGCCCGAGCCGTACCGCTCCATGGTTCCTACTGAGTGCGGCCGTGGCTCCAGTGCCCGTGGGCTGCGGGTCCGCTTGGGGGAGCGCAGAGGAGAAGCCGGGCGGGCGAGCGGCATCGGGGCAGGCGAGAGCATCAGATTGCCAGAGGGTTGCATGACTGTAGGCAGCGAATGGGCCCGTGTCATAGGCGGCGCATTCGGCAACGCAGACCCGCTCTGGGAGCGGAGGTGAGAGCGCGAGTAGGGCGAGCGGTTCCGTGGCCGGGTGGTGAGAGCTGCCAGAGACGTGAGCGTGTCAGGCTGGGGGTCTGTCTGGGAGCGCGGTGTAGAGGGCCGGCGCGAGGTCATGCTGTCGTCGGACGTGTTGCTGAGCTGGCGGGCGAGCGTGTTGCTTTCTCCCATGGCGGCAGAGGGCGGGCTTGAGCGTGAGCAGGATGCGTCTTCTGCAGCGGGCTTTGTAGCAGCCGGTGCCTTCTTCGGGCTCTTGAGTGGTATCGGGCCTGTATGGGCGCTCGCGGTGGGCATGGACTTCAGACGTTGGACAAGATCGTCGTGCTGCAGATCCTCATTCACACTCAGCGGCGGCGAGAGATTTGAGGCAGTCATGGCGGCGGGCAGCGAGTATACATAGTCTGCGCTCACGCCTAGAGTATGGACTGGAGAGGCCGAGGTGGAACTAGGGAGCGCAGGGGAATAGCGTGGTGCCCGTGTTGCTCTGGGCGGTGGACGCACGCTGGACCTTGCAGCGTTTCAGCCGCCGGAAACTGACTTTGGGCGCGCGCTGACTGGCTGGCGGCGGCCAAGGTGAGCAGCGACAAATAAGAGCGACAGATAGTGTGCGAGGACGACTTTGTTGGAGCCCGGAGAGTCAGAGCAGTGCACGAGGACCGTCACGATGCTGCTGCCCTGCGACGACAGAGGAGGGAGGGGCCGCGACGTTGGTAGTACTTGGTACCTGCCGCCGAGATTGCCGCTATCGATCTGGGGCAGTCGCGACCGCCTCCATAGGCAAGGGCTCCCAACAATGCCGCCACCCTGCCATGCAAACAATACAATGTCCTCTGTTTGCTGCACAACCGCCCCATTGACACTCCCTACACATTAAACTATCACCACTACGCCCGGCACCGTCGCTCGCCACACCTCTCTCCAGCCGCCATGTTCCCTGATCAGCGCCGGACAGGACTCTAACGGACCCTGAAATTGCCTGCAGCTGACTAGCGCAACGTCTCCACCGCCCAAGACGACAGGCACAATCCAATCACGGCCTGTTCTCGCAAATTGAGACGCTACTCGGTGCCGAATTGGGACCTCGCTGCTAAATGTGGATGCCTCAGGCTTTAATCCACGATGGCGTGGTTATTTATGCCTCTTCCCCACATAATCTCTCGCCCACGCCCTTGTATCGCTTGCATTAACTTCACCACCATTGTCTATGCTGCGCAGGGGGTTTTGATTATCGATAATGAATGCGCGATCTTAACGCTATCGATAAGCTGCCTCTCTGGCCGTACTCTAACTCTTTCCTTGCATATGCAAAAACCTCTCTGTAACGACAGTGGACTCCCGAAGGAAACAGGAGCCATAAACACACACTGACTCGCTACCTAGTTTCTGATGAGACAAACTGATGCTCTTAACCAAGGCTCTCTCCTATCCGAATTTACAGTTTGGCAACCAGGAGATGAGGTGTCTAACAGAATGAGCAGGCGATAGCTGCCACAGGCGGAAGCCCAACAATTTCCACCATGTAGTCCGCAGTGATCCCGCTAGCCGACCCACAAAACGCACCACACTTCGAGTCACATTGCGTACTCCACGAAAGCATGCTTGGAATCGCAGCGAGCTCGGGGTGTCGTTCCGGTTCGACCGTCAGCAATGTCTTGCCCGTCTGGGGATAAGCGTAGACAAGATACTCGAACTCGTAGTCTTTTAGAACGCAACCTTCATCCATTTAACCTCAGTTGCCTCCATAATAGGGTCCCGTCTTGGTCGTCTTAGATCGCTCCACGGCCTTAGTCAACGCACCGGTGACGACAGATGAGAAAGGCTGCACGTTGTCTAGATTGTCGAATGTGCATACAAAAGAGATGCTGCAGTCATTTCCGATCGTATGAGCCTCGGGCTTGTACAGGTTGATGACGATGTTGAATCCTTCGCCGGTAGGCAGCTGGAAGTTGAAGAAGTTGTTGCGGGCCATGCTGTGGTTGTACGGAAATGCGCTCAGATCGCTGAGGGGAGCAATTTGTGACGATGGCCCGTAGGACGGCCCAAACGATGAGGAGTCACCCGTGACTTCCTCAATTCAACGACACAAACGATGCCAAATTATCGCTTCAAGGGAGAAAATCAGGAGGCGAAAGTGGAGTCAACTCGCTCACCGTTGCGAACACGACACTATAAAGCCTATCACGATCATCATCATCACAAAAAGTTATCGTGCCGCTAAAGAAGTCCGACAATGAGCGAAGAGATGCCTTCGCGCCCTGTTGACAGAAGTTACAAGGTGGAATTCAGTGGTATAACTATCGCCCGGCGTGCTAATGCAGTTCAGCACGCTATCGCCATCCTTCACAGCCGACGACGCCCAGCGAGACCGAGTGTCAGTGCTGCAAGCGAACCACAAAACACTGGCCGTGTCACTGATGGGAAAGGGAAATCTGAACTGAAGGGTACACCGAGTATAGTCGGAATGAAGCAATGGCTACAGCAGATCGGTCACTCGGTATGCCTCGTGAGCAGTCTCTGGAGCTGTACTGACAAAGAAAGACTGCCGAAATCGATAACCTCAACATCGTTCACGTCGCCGGCACCAAGGGCAAAGGCAGTACATGTGCCTTCATCGAGTCATTTCTTCGAGCTTACGGGGCAAGGACCAGACGGCCACTTAAGACAGGTCTATACACTTCGCCACATCTTATCTACCCTGAAGAAAGGATTCGTATCAACTTCCGACCCATCGAGAAAAACCTCTTCACGAGGTACTTCTTCGAAGTATGGGATGTTTTGTCGAAAGACTCGAAAACCTGGCCCCGTTATCTTCAGCTCATCGCGTTGGTGTCCTTTCATGCGTTCATCAAAGAAGGAGTTCAGGCAGCTATATATGAGACGCACCATGGAGGCGAATACGATGCTACCAACGTGATAGAGCATCCTGTCGCAACTGTCATCACTGCGCTTGGAATGGATCACGTCCAGCAGTTGGGACCCACTATCGAACACATCGCCTGGCACAAAACGGGAATTTTCAAGTGCAAGGCCTATGCTTTCTCATCCCCTCAAGAACCCTCCGCTGCTGAGGTGCTCCGTGCTCGCGCGGCTGAGAAAGGCGTTCGCCTCCAATTCGTGGAGAACGATCCAGATCTTCCAGCAGAAGCACCGCAGCTAAAGCCAGACGTGCAGCGCACGAACTGTTCCGTTGCTCTTGCTGCAGTTCGCCATTTCCTCAAAGAAAGAGCTCTGAAAGACACTCCACAGTTATGTCCTTCCGATATCTCGCGCGGCATAAGGCAGTTCTCCTGGCCGGGGCGCTTCCAAACCATTGTTGAAGGACCATTCACGTGGTTTCTGGACGGTGCACATAACGAAATGAGCGTTAGTAAGGCCGCAGGATGGTTCATTGAGAGCTCGCAGGGAGAGAGGTATGTAACCCACTTTTCAAGACTGACTCCTATCACTGACGTCCATAGTGCATCTCCCATACGAATCTTAATCTTCGGCCAGGTATCGAAGCAGAGAGATGCGAAAGCGGTTTTCCAACGACTAGCTATAGCGCTCAGCCCTATACATGTCGATTATGTCATTTTCACTTCGTACGATCCAAAGCAAGACTTCGACTCTACAACAGGTGAAGCCACCTAAACTCCTTCTTATGAAACCTCACTTGCTAACTGTGATGTAGCTGTAATTCCGAATTTGAAAGATCTAGACACTTTACAAGGAGCTTTCAGTGAGATTTGGAAGCGCATCCACCCGAACTCCCACATCCTCTACGAACCAATTGTGCAAAGGGCTCTGGAGTTGGCAAGGGAAATAGACACGGTTGGTGGTATGCAGACACTCATCACTGGTAGTCAACATCTGGTTGGCGCCGCTCTCTTCTCGTTGAACGACTGCGCGTCAGATGAGGGCTTCACTTAGCTCCTGTATGTAGGTGTACAAGGCGTGCACTTTGCTGGACCCCAGATCTGCCGCCGCTAACATTATGTTGCGCAAAAACACCACCGGCGTGTGCTGTACGCACGACGATGCGCATCACAAATATTCTCTTTGTGGCGAATTGAAGTCACAGCCCGCTCTAATAACAGAGGTGGAGGACCTGCAGGCCATCAATCTATGACCGAGTTTACCGCCCCACAACGCTTGCTTATGGCTGCGCCCCATAGGATGTTACCAGTCAGCACATCGCCTTGGTATCACCAGTTGGTGCGCAAGGCCACCCGTCTCAAATGCGCTGACGATTTTCACATAAGACAACAGGCTACCGCCTCGCCAAACTAACACCATCGATCGTCAATTCCACCCGCGCATGGGGGCCAAAAGTTACCTAGGTACACTTCGACAGCATCACTACTAGCACTCCGCAGTCATCTCAAAGATATCCAGGCTGAGAAAAAAGGCGAAGTTCTCTTACGCACGCCGTTGTAGTGGGCAGGTTTTGCCACCAAAGAAATGGTACGATTCGAAGCGCTCAGATTCCGCCCGACGACGCTAGTCCCAAAACGAAAGGACGGCACACAATCCCGTCAAAGCTGGTACCCTCCCGCGCTACAATGGTGGACCCTCGCCATAACTGCATTACTCTGCTGGACCTTTATTGCTGTTCTCCAATACTATCTTCGGAGAAGCCAGACTCAAGGTGGGGTGATTTTTGCCACAACGGTGAACTCACTTCCGTTACGTCGCTCATTCTGGTACCTCTATCTGCCAACGATTATTGCTGTAACTTTCAGCATCCTTGTTATCTGGATCGACCACGATGCTAAGCGTTATGAGCCCTATCGGCACATGGCACGGCCATGTGGAGCGTCAGCGGCAAACTCCATTCTATTGCACTATCCTTTCGACTACATCCCGATTGTACCTATAATAGCAGCTAAAAGGAGGTCAGTCCCACAACACACTTCAAAAAGAACGAAAAAGTGTTGACGAAGCCTGTATAGGCATTGGCTTGTGTTCTGGGCCTCACTGGCAACCGTTCTCACTACATTCGGCGTTGTACCACTACAAGCAGGTATATTCTCGACACGTCCGATTACCAGGGATTTTGTACAGGAATTCGACACATCGAATGATTTTATACACTCTTCGATGCAAGAGCAGAATATGACCTTCAGCTATGCGCAATCTGTATATGGCATCTTGGAGTTGAACGAAACAATGCCAGCCTTTACCACTCGCAACTATACGCTACGACCGTTCACTACTCAAGGTCTCATACCCAGTGCTGGCGACTCCTGGACAGCACGTACTATCATGTACAGTATGGGTCTTGAATGCGAAAAGGCGCAAAAAGCAGGAGCAAGAAACGAAACCTGGTCAGAAGAGGCGCTTGTGCAGGTTGAAGGGACTAACGTTCTACGTAACATGACATGGTCTTTCACAAG